TCCTTTTTCTCTATCATGATACCAACCATTCCTCCCATGGCACTCCACTTCTCTGCCGGGTTCCACAATCAATTGCAATGGCCATATAGAACTCACAGATAATACAGGTATGGGAGTTTATTAGTGAAGTTTACAGGTTATCGTGAGCCAGGATCATGAAACATTAATGTTGCGGTCTTTGGTCCATAGCAACACCTCTCCGAGCCAACAGCCACCTCTCTCTCTCTCTCTGGTCAATAGCCTCTCAACCAAATGCTCGTCTTGCTTCTGTCTCCATCTGTGCAACAAGAAGCCCACCCACCGCGCTGCCTTGCCGTCCCATAGTCTCAGCACTGCTTCTCTGTTTGGTCTCATGGGCTCCTTGCCTCAGCCTTCCATCCCAGAGTGCCATGTTTTCTACAGCTCAAGGGATTTCCAACAGACTCCACTGGTGCCTCTTCTTCTTTGATGGCTCTGGGACTTCTCTTGGCTCCTGTTTCTCAGGCGTCTGTCTTATATGCAGGAGAAAGGCAACCCACACTGACCAGTGCCCTTGATGAGTGTTTTTTGCACTCTGTTTGCATTGTGCCGCCCAATCATTTGGCGAGAAGTATAGAGACGTGGATAAAAGAGCCACAAGTAGAAATTCCACTTCACTACAGAATGATATGCATTGATGGAAAAGTGGATGATTTTCTGCTTGGTTTGAAGCAAGAAGAGGTAGAATTTAGAAACCTTTATAATATTAGTGAATAAGAAAACGATATCTTGTCACTTTATAGTCTCCTCAGGCAACCAGAGTCTGTATTATCTTCAATATAGCTGTTGGATTTTCAGGAGATTTTTCTTCTCTAGGAGGTCAGCCTTACTGCAAGCATATCTGAGGTCCACGGGCATGTACCACGGTAACATGTTGTGACCCACACACCCCGCCCCCCGGCCAGGCTGTTGCTGAAACACTAGGCCAATGTCACCTAAGGCAACTAGGTGACATGATGAAAAACAAGTTGATTAACCCTTTAAAATGTATACTGCCTCTGTATTCACTTGCATGTACATTTTGTGTAGCTCCCTTCGGAACTAATTATTCTCTTTTAAAACAACAGTAGGAAAGCAAAGAACGAAGAAATAGAAAGTTACCCAATGGTGGAATCACCCACCTGGCATGCTTGGAAGGCCGTACTCTAGTGACTAAAGGATTGGCAGTCAGAATGGTTATCTAAAGTAGAACATTTGAGGCAAAGAATTTCCACTGTCGATATTTTTCACAAACTCGTGTCTTTCTATTTTTTCCTTCTCAATGAATATAAACAGTGTTGATCCAGAGATGTTCACCCAGAGTTCCTCAGCATGTCACTGGTCTGCCAAGAACTCCTTGCCCCTGGTTTAGCAAAAATGCTTGTTGCTGTCGTTGTGAGGTGCCATCTGGGCCGTTGTGAAATAATGAAGTATTGTTCATGCTAACTATTGTTGCTATGTTTAAGCCCATTGTTGTGACCATGGCGTCAGTCTGTCTCATTGAGGGCCTTCCTCTCGATTGCTTACGCTTGACTTCACCAGGCAGGATGTCCCTCAGGAGACTGGTCCCTCTTGTTGAAATATGGCAAAAACACATAGGGTGAAGCCTTGCCGTTCGCATTTCTCAGGATCGTTCCGACAATACGTCTTCCAAGACAGATTTGTTCTTTATTCCTGCAGTCCGTGGTGCATTCAATACTCTTTGTCTAGCATAAGAATTCAATGACAGGCATCTTCTTTGATCTCCTCCAGCTTCGACATGCCTATCAGGCGATTGAAAATACCATGGCTTGGGTTAGATGCACCTTGTCTTTAAAGTGGTTTCTTTGCTTTGTGAAACTTGAAAGAGGTCTGATGCAGCAGATTTACCCAATGTAATATTTACTTGATTTTTTTTTGGTTTGTTTGATTTTTTTTGAGCTATAATTAGTAAAGTTCAATAATTCATTCATATCAAGAAGGTTGTCCATTCATTGCCACAATCAACTTTGAAACTTTTTCTTCCTTCTTGTACCCATTGATGTTGACTCCCCATTTCCCTACCCTGCCTTTCTGTGCCCCCAGGCAATCATTAATCCTTAACCCACCCATCCCAGTTTACCGATACAGGTAAACATAGAAAACAAGGTAAACAACAAATAAGGACCCAGCACCAATGGCCTTAGAAAACAAACAAAATAAGACCTCAACCTGTGAGAAACTAGAGAAGATGAAAATTTTAGAATAAATTCACGAGGGGTCCAGAGGGAGATCAAATGATAAATTGTTACAATCCAGCCAAAGTACAGCTGCTAAAATCCACTGAGCAATGCACTTTGTATGATATCAGGGCTGGTAACCTTCTTAGTCCATGGGGACTATGGATTCACCGTAGACCCAATCCAGGTAGGGACCCTGTAAGTAAATTTTGGCCTACCACCATCCTCCATAGCTTACTGCAAACCAGATATTTAGAATTTAGACCCTTGTGTAGTGTGTACACATTGCGATGTTAGCCACAACATCAGCAGTTCAAAACCACCAGTCTCTCCACTGGAGATAAATGAAGTTTTCTACTCCTGTAAAGAGTTACAGTTTTGGAAACCTACAGGGGAAGTTCTACTCTGACATATAGCGTCACTATGAGTCAGTATAGACTGGATGGTAGTGAATTTGGGGGATTTTGTTTGTTTGTTTGTTTCTGTTTTACTGTTCCCACCTCTGGATTTGGATCTCATTATTTACAATCCTTGGATCAGGAGGCTAGTGTGCTTTGCTGACTCCTCACTTAGATGGCTGCTTGTTTTGAGATAAGCTTTTACGACCCCAGACTTCATTTTTTATGATAGCCAGATTCCACCTGATTTCTTCAGCACACTTGCTACGGCCCCCATGTCTTCATTGACCTCATGGGGATGAGCACCGGGCTTAGAATTAATTATTTTACATCATAGCTTTGATCACATCCCTTGATTTCTTGACTGCTGTTTCCATGGACCTGGGTTATGGACCCAAGTTAAACGAAATCCTTTACAGCTTCAGTATTTTCTACACTTAAAGGCTTCTCTGTATAAAAATATTTATTAATGTTTGAAAATCCTAACATTCCATTTCCTGCTTTTTTCCCTTGAGTATGCAAACAACACAGTAAGAGCAGAGCAAAGGTGTTTTTTATGGCGGTTAACCTAAAGCAAGCCAGCTGCCTGCAAGTCCATTCTGACTCATAGCAGCCCTGTAGAACATAATAGGACTCCTTCTGCGGGCAGCTGAGGCTTTAAATCAGCAGTTCTCAACCTTCCTCGTGCTGGGACCCTTTAATACAGTTTCTCATGTGGTGGTGACCCCCAACTATAAATTATTTTCATTGCTACTTCATACCTGTCATTTTGCTACTGCTATGAATCGTAAATATCTATATGCAGGATGTATTTTCAGTGTTACAAATTGAACATAATGAAAGCATAGTGATTAATCACAAAAACAATATGTAATATTTTGTGAAATATTTGTTTCTAATTACAAATAGATGAAATTTTGTCTTGAACCATGGTGTAACATGGATAGCAGTCTTAATATAACAATAGTAAACTACATTGCTACATTTTGAGACAGTATGTGTAAAAAAGTCAGTGTGAAAGTTCAGATAGCTTCTTTCTCACCAGATCAGCATATCTGCATGTGGGCGGACCCACTTGGAGACAGATAGAGGAGAAGTGTCTCAGTTCCTAAGACCATCAGAAATATGTATTTTCCGATGGTCTTAGGTGACCCCTGTGAAAGGGTCGTTTGACCACCAAAGGGGTCTTGACCCACAGGTTGAGAACCGCTGCTTTAAATCTTTACTGGAGGTGATAGCCTCATCTTCCTCCAACAGAGTAGTGGGGGGAATCAAACTGCTGACCTTATGGTTAACAGCCTAGCTCATAATCCACCAGACCACCAGGGCTCCTTCATGGTGGTGGAGGAGGCATTAAATAGAGTTATAACCTGCTGATAGTTCAATTCCAGGTCTGCCAATTTTGTACTTTTGGAAAATTTTACTGTTTTGGAGGGCCAGTGTATATACCATGATGTATTTTTACATAAAAGAACCTTTGTTCTTTATCAGTATCAAGAGTGTTCGGATCTTTGAGAGATATAAAAAGTTGACTTTCTCCTCCTCTTACTATATGATTGGGATAAATTGCATCTCTATCTTGGTCCACTGAACTTAATACCTAAAGTAGACACTGGGTTGAAAAATACACAGAAGTAAACAAACATATAAATAAATGCCTGTTCCACATAGCTTCTTTACAGTCTGCCTTCAACACACATAGCTGAAATTCATGCATTCCTGGTGTTGGTATGTTTATAACTTGGTATTTTGTATCAACAACTTTAAAATATTCATTGTCTGACTATAAAAAAATGATTTAACATTCAGACCATCACACAAAGACTTCTGCAAAAGAAATACATCCTGGCGTCGTTAATATATGAAAAATCGAAAACATCATGACCTAATATTCAAGAAGAGCACTTGGTTACCTGCAGTATGCTGCGTAGGACGCAATGGAGTTTAGGCCAGCGATTGTTACAGCTGACATTCTAGATGAATTCTTAAAGCAGCATACCAAAAGTCCTCATGCTGCCCTGTGACAAAAACCCAAAATAAAACCGAATGTATAGCAATCGTTGGAGCAGGAAGGGAACGTGAGAAGATCATACTGTGTACCATAACAACTTTCGCTTGGTTGTCGCTATTCCTTGTTTTCCAGTGATTTTTTGCCTACTTTCCATAGTTTCAAATTTTCCTAGAATGGGTCCTATAATGAAATCCAAAAATTATGACCCAGAAGGAAAACCCCAGCGGAACCAGTACTCATGGTCAGTTCTGCCCCTTTGGGTCACCTTTCTGCCTTATGGCTTTCCCTGGGCATTTCTTTATACTGGCAATTCTCCAAGTGACGCAAAAAGCCATACAAACCCCCCTCAGGGGCAATGATAAGAACCGGTGTCACCTGTACTCTGTTCTTTTTCAGCACACAACGGTCTTGCCTTTCATATTAATCGAGATGAGGACGTCGCACCATCAGTACCCCAGCAGGAGCAGCGGCCTCCCCGCCATATGTACCTTCTCTGTTGGCTATATATTATGGTAAGGATGGTGCCTGCTGGGCTTTCATAGGGTATTAGATTCTGCACAGCTAAATTTGGGCACATATTTCATTATGGATATAATCACTAACAGATTCTCACTGCGAGCCTCATTTGGTCCAAAACCTGGGCTTTGTCTCCTTTCCCCAGATGCTTATATTTTTGGAGAGTAGATGCCAAACCTCACACAACAGGAATTTGTTGAACAATCCCATGTAAGCAGTGGGGCTTCCAAGGCTGCACTCGACCAACCCTCTTTGTAACTCATGTTTTTCTTGGACAGGCTTTTTGTTGCTTACAGGCTGTTGAGCTTAGGTTTGCTGTTGTTGTTGTTGGTTTTACTTTTGTTAGGGGTGGGGAGAGAACACAAAATAAGGACAGAAAAAAAAAAAGACCTCTTACAGGAGTGACTTTAAACATTATAAGAGAGATTGAAAATGGGCATTCTCCCGAGTGAGGTCCAAACCTATTCTAGAATGAGCTGTTAGGCACAAGATGTATTTAGTGGGCTTTTGTTGGGTGGGTTGTTTTCATAAACCTATTGGAGTAAATGCATCACAAGGCAGCCACGTTTGGCTCACTGGCTATGAAGTCCCAAATGTGAGGTACCAAGCGTGTCTAATAAGAATTTTTGCCTGATGAGCTTACTTCACATTCATTTTGGTTTGTACCGTGATTTAACTTTCCAATAGTTAAGAATTGCTTAACTTTTCTAATTCCAAGTCCTTAGATACATTAGCACATATGGAAGAGGTCTCTCCTGCCAGCTTTTCTGTCTCTGGGGACTCTTTTATCCTGAATTCTGGGACACCGTCTCCTCCTTTAAGCCTGAAGAAATGGAGAACACATTCTTCCTAAGACCCAGAGCTGCACGGAATCCCAGAATGCTCTGGGTTCCCCGTCCCCACACAGAGTTTTGCTCCAGCTAGCCCAGAAATAAAAAACAAAGGCCAGTCTAGCCTCATTGATCACAGAGTGAGTCAGATCTCCCAGGGCATCTGCAGAAAGGTGACTGTCGCCTTTATAAAGTGTCTTTTTTTAAAAAAAATCAATTTACTGGGGCTCCTACAACTCATCACAATCCATCCATTGTGTCAAGCACATTTGTACATTTGTTGACATCGTCATTTTCAAAACATTTTCTTTCTACTTGAGCATTTAGTATCAGCTCATTTTCCTCCTCCCTCCCTCATGAATACTTAATAATTTATTATTATTTTTTCATGTCTTACACTGACCGATGTCTCCCTTCACCCACTTTTCTGTTGTCCATCCCCCTGGGAGGAGATTATAGGTAGATCATTGTGATCAGTTCCCCCTATCTCCCCCCTGCTTCCCCTTCCCCTCCTGGTATGGCTACTCTCAACATTGGTCCTGAGGTGTTTATCTGTCCTGGATTCCCTGTATTTCCAGCTCTTATAAAAATAAATGTGTGTGGTTCATACCTATAACATGATATTCAAATGACCGTTATCTTCAATTGAGTTACAGAATCATCCCAGGGATGCTACAGTGTTTCGAACTTATCTGGAACTGCCTACAACATCAGCTTAAATATCAACCCCTCATCACCACTCCCCCACCTCTAAGCAAAATAGTCTCATTCCTTTGCACTCATACTTGTGTACTGTGGGCAGGGAAGCTGTCTGCTGGGGGAACTCTGGGTATATTTCTGCACATTTCTTTATATGCCATTAAATTATCTGTAGCGTGCAGAGCCCCGGAGCTTTCAGGAATTACATGCTTTCTGGTGGACTTGAGACAATCAGATGACATTCCAAACAGACACATGGGAAATAGCGCAGTCTTCGTGGTAGACCCCCAAGCTCCCTCATTGAGATACAGCTAATGCACACTCTTCATGCCAAGTGAGCCTGGCCAGGCCTGCATTCTCCTGCAGTGCACAGGACTTGTTTGGACATGTATTTGCATTAACCAGCAAATTCTCTCGGATTTTTCTGAGGAGGCTTTCAAAGTCAACTTTTCCCTGTGGTGTGCTGCCCTAGGCATTCCCAGAGCACTGCCAAAATTAAACAATGCCCCTCACATCATATCGCATCATATAATTCCAAGGATTTTCAGTGTTATCAAAAAAAGGACTGGCCTTTGCTCCCCTCCAGACAACAGCGGAGCCTACGAGACAAGTAAAAGGCTCAGGATAGGATAGGAAATCTTTTGAAAACACACCAGTGTTGTCACTGGACATTCCAGACCTCGTGCCAGATTTTAAGAAAGCATGCCTCTTAGGGCTTGTTCATCATAAAGTAAACAGATCTCCCCTATAGTGCTGGGCAGGGTTCAGCTGAATCTATACTTCAGGGGCTGCCAGCCAGCCTGTCTGGCTGCATTGTTCTAACTCTAGCTTGCTCTGCAACCTCTCTGTTCGCATCTTTTCTGTTCCTGTGTCTGGAGGGTGAGGCTTAAGAAAGCACTGTCAAAGATGAAAGTCTACTAGGAGGGAAAAGAAGGGCATTTCCTTGAGGAATACTATTGTCGGGGAATCGCTTTACTGAGTTTTATGGGGGAATTGCTCACACTGGGGCAGTGTTAAGTAAAAATTAAACCACACTCCTCCATTCCAATAGACCAAGGGGTCTATATACAGAGAGAACAAAAGCAAGGTAGGAAGTTAATGATTGATCAGAGATAGCATCAGCTGCAGCTACAAGTCCCTTGAAATCTAAAGGTCAGCCACTTGACTGGGAAGGAGGGTGTTAGCACCTCGTAAGTGGCACTAGCCAGTCTGGTTCTACAGGTTGCAGTCCTAACCACAGCTTGCCCCAGGACACAATGTTGACTTCGTGACACATTCTTCCCAGGAACAAATGATTTGCTTCCTGGGAGTGCACACTGGCTCCATCATTCTGCTGTCTGATACGGCCGCCTCACAGCATTCATCTGTGGGAAGCAGGTATTAGCCAAAAAATAAAAATAAACAAAACAAACCAACAAAAAACAGGGGCAACCACTTGCACCACCATGGACAATGAAATCATAAGGGCTTTATCTTTCTCCCATTGTGCTGCTCAGCTCCTTGGACTGGAGAAACATCTAGAATCAGACCGTGTCTTCTCCTCCACTTCAAGGTACTGGAGTGTGAAGCAGAATGAATGAAAAGGCAAAAAAAAAAAAAAAAAACCCTCCCTCCCACATAGGTTTCTAGCAGTAAGCAAGGCAAGTGAATGGAGTTGGACAGTGCCATGCGGGCCATCGTAAAGACTTTATCCTTGAACTCAGAATGAAATGAGGAGACATTGGAGGGTTTCCTAGCACAGAATTTACACCAGCTGACACGTGAAAAGACTATGCAGGGTAAGACTGGAGCAAGAATCTGTGACAGCGATCCTGATGAGAGGCAATATGGTTTGGAGCAAGGTGGTAGATAAGGAGATGCACGATTTGGGATAGATTTTGAAAATAGTTAACAGGATTTCCTGGCCAAATCTGAATTTCACTCGAGAGGCCATTCTTTGAAGAATGTCTGTAGTAGTGGTGTTAGAAGTAGGATAATGCCCATATACTAATCTCACGAACCTCTGAAATGTGTTACCTTACAAGGCTAAAGGCCTCTGCCTATGCATTTAACTTAAGGACGTTGGGATGGGGAGGTTAACTTGTCCAAGTGAACTAATCTAACCACAAAGCCCAGACCCCCTGCCGTAGAGTGGTTTGCATTCCGCCTCACAGCGACCCTAGAGGACAGAGTAGGTTGTAAATCCTTAGAGGAGCGGACTGCCACATCTTTCTCCCACAGAGTGGCTGGTGGTTTCCAACTGCAGGCCTTGTCGTCTGTACCCAAGAGCTCAACCACTACCTCATGAAGACGCGTCATCTCATCACAAGGTTCCTTAAAAGCAGAGAACCTTGTCCCTGTAAATGTTGAATTACAACGTTTAAACTCTGTAGGAAGGGTCAGAGAGATGCGATATGTGAAAAGGATCCCGCCCACTGATGCTGATTTTGAAGATGGAGAAAGGGGCCAGGATCAAGGAAGGACCGTGGCCTTGAGAAGATGGAAAAGGCAAGAGAGCAGATGGACTTCCTTGTCCAGAAAGGATGGCAGACACCTTAATGTTCGTCCAGCTTTAGGACCACCAAAACTCTTGCTGAGGTCCCCATGAACTTCTGTCTGGCTGAATCCATCGAGTGCTTTTTAGACCCCTTCACACTTGACATGTAGGCAATTTCCATAGGAAACACCCCAGCCCACCCTCTTCCTGTAATGCTCTCATCACTTGGCTTACATGCTACAGCATTCTCCCTGTTTTTCTCCCAAGTCTCAAGATGAGCCCATCTCAGTCAGCATCTTTTCCTGGCTCTTCCCACGCACGCCTCAGTGTTGAAGGTCTCTGGAGGTTAGTCCTAGGTCCTCATCTTTTTTTCTTTTTCTTTTATTGAAAGATCATTTAATTGGGGCTCTTACAGCTCTTACAATAATCCATACATCAATTGTATCAAGCATATTTGTACATATGTTGCCAACATTATTTTCTAGGCATTTACATTCTTTTGAACCTTTGGTATCAGCTCTTTTTTTCACTCCCACCCCTGCCACCCTTGTGACCCCTTGATAAATTATTATTATTTTCATATCTTACAGTGATCGCTGTCTCCCTTCCCCCACGGTTTCTGTTCATCTCCCTGGAGGGATGTGTGCGTGGTTATGTGTCAATCAAATCATTGCAATCAGTTCCTCCTTCCTCTTCTCCTCTCCCCACCTTCCCCCTTCTGGTATCACTACTCCCATTCCTGTTCCTGGATTCCTTGTGTCATGAGCTCTTATCTGTACCTATGCACATACTTCGTTCTAGCCCGCAGTGAAAGGGAGGATTGGGATCATGATGGTGGGGGGTGAGAAAGCTTCCAGGAACCAGAGGAATATTGTGTGTTTCATAATAGCTATACTGCGCCCTGGTTGACTCATCCTTTCCTTGTGCCCCTACTGTGAATGGATGTCCCATTGTCAACAGATGGGTTTTGAGTCTCTGCTCCAACACCCCC